ATGTTCTGAACACACACAATTATATCATACACCAAGCATAAGAAAACTACATTCTTTAAAGAAGGGGGAGGAACACCTATTATTTCATTGAATTTCTCTCAGGCAGGAATTTTCTTGCTGAAGTTGAAACCTAAATCACGCATGACAGAATCACCAGCAGAGTCCTCTGCAATTGAATGCTTTTTAAAAAATGTATTTGATTGATGATACTATTACCGTTGTCCCAAGTTTTCCCCCATTGCCCCCCTCCACCTGGTACCCCCGTTCCCTCAAGCAATCCCTCCCTTAGTTCATGGCCATGGGTCATGCATGTAAGTTCTTTGGCTTCTCCATTTCCTATACTGTGCTTAAGCTCCCCCTGTCTATTTTGTACCTACCAATTATGCTTCTTAATCCCTGCACCTTTTCCCCCCAGTCTCCCCCTTCCCCCTCCCAGCTGATAACCCTCCAAATGATCCCCATATTTATGGGTTTGTTCCTGTCTGGTTTGTCTGCTTAGTTTGTTTTTTAGATTCAGTTGTTAATAGTTGTGAATTTGTTGCCATTTTAATGTTCATAGTTTTGATCTTCTTTTTCTTAAATAAGTCCCTTTGACACTTCATATAATAATGGCTTGGTGATGATAACGAACTCCTTTAGTTTTCCCTTGTCTGGGAAGCACTTTATCTGCCCTTCAATTTTAAATGATAGCTTTGCTGGATAGAGTAATCTAGACTCTAGGTCCTTGCTTTTCATCATTTTGAATACTTGCCAGTCCCTTCTAGCCTGCAAAGTATTTTGGAGAAATCAGCTTATAGTCTTATGGGAACTCCTTTTTAGGTAACCATCTGCTTTTCTCTTGCTGCTTTTGAGATTCTCTCTTTATCTTTAATCTTGGGCATTTTAACTATGATGTGTCTTGGTGTGGTCCTCTGTGGGTCTAACTCGTTTGGGACTCTCTGTGCTTCCTGGACTTGTATGTCTATTTCCTTCACCAAATTAGGGAAGTTTCCTTTCATTACTTTTTCCAATAGGGCTTCAATGTCTTGCTCTTCCTCTTGTCCTTCTGGCACCCCTATGATTTGGATGTTGATACACTGGAGGTGCCCCAGAGGCTCGTTATTCTGTCCTTGTTTTTTAAAATTCTTTTTTCTTCTTGCTGTTCTGATTGAATGCTTTTTTCTTCCTTATGTTCCAAGTTGTTGATTCGATTCTTGGCTTCATCCTCCCCACTGTTGGTTCCCTGTAGCTTTTCCTTTGTTTCACTTAATGCAACCTTCATTTCTGCCTGAGTCTTTTTTATGCTGTTGCCAGACTCAGTGAGTTCTTTGAGCATCCTGACCACCAGTGTTTTGAACTCTGCATCTGATAGGTTGCTTATCTCCATTTCATTTAGTTCTTTTTCTTGAGTTTTGTTCTGTTTTTTGTTTTGTTTTGTTTTGTTTTGTTTCCATTTGGGCCATCTTTCTTTGTCTCCTCAATCTGGCAGCCTCCCTGTGTTTGTTTCTGTGTGTTAGGTAGAGCTGCTCTGACTCCGTGTCCTCGTAGTGTGGCCTAATGCAGTAGGTGTCCTGTAGGGTCTGGTGGCACAGCCTCCCCTATTACCTAAGCTGGGCACTTGAAGTGCGCCCTTTGTGTGGGCTGAGTACACCCTCCTCTTGATCGCTGTTGGCAGATCAATGGGAGGGATTTACCTGGGCCAGTCACTTCTAAGAATTGGCTGTGACCACTTTCCACCAACTTCCGCCCTCCGTGGAGGATCAGCTGTGCAGGGGCAGCGTGCTGGTCCTCCAGTGTGGTCTGTAGCTGTCCCCTGGGTGCACTGGCCCTGTGGTTTCCCAGGTAGTACAGACCAAGGTCAGCCCCTACCTGTGTTTTACTTGGGGCCACCCTGCCTGAGCTCCAGAGCAATGTGAGATGGCTGCTGCTTGTGCTGGGCTCGGAGATTCCCAGGTGAAGCCCAGCTGTGAATCTGGGCTGGCTGCTGCTAGTGCCGGGCCTGGGGCTCAGTGAGGCCAGCTGTTGCTTGTTTGATAGGATTTAGAAAGCTGGGAAGCATGAGCCAAGGCCAGCCATTCATACGGAAAAGCAGCTTGGGTGGGACGGAGTCTCTGGAGATCTGCAAGGCGGATCAGTGTTAGCCAGGCTGATGGAGTCTCGGATATGGCACCAGCTTGCTGGCTGTTTGTGGGGAGGGCCCAGAAAAGGGGCCATGGCCTCTGCTCGCCTTGATGCCAGACACTTCGGTTTCTCCCTGTACACACCACTGGCGCCTTTCAAGCTGCCACGCTGGTGCTGGAGCTCAGAGGGAGGGAGTCTGAGGAGGTGAGTCTATGTGTGGGTTCTTTCAGGGGAACTGCTTGGGGTTTCAGAAGTTCCCTCCACTGACTCAATCCCTGCTGGTTTTTGCAGCCAAAATTTGTGGGGACTGATCTTCCTGTCATGGAACCCTAAGTTGGGGGCCTGGTGTGGGGTTGGGACTCCTCGCTCCCAAGATATCCCTCCCGAATTTTTATCTACCACCTGAGGGTGAGGGACCAGCCTGTTCCACGTCTGTGCCCCTCCTACCAGACCGGATGGAGGTGGTTTCTTTAATTCTGTAGTTGTCAGACTTCCATTCAGCCTGATCTCTGATGGTTCTGAGTGACGGTGGTTCTATATTTTAGTTGTAATTTTGATGTGGTTGTGCCAAGTGGCGAGGCACGTCTGCTTATGCTGCCATCTTGACCGGAAGTCCCCTCGTGATTTTAAAATAAAATAAAAATGAATCCTCTTCACAAACCAGGAGTAGAAGGGAACTTCCTTAAGCTGATCATATATTTCCAAAAACAAACAAACAAAAAACCCTGAAAGTATCCCCCATAAATAAAAAATTAAAAAATAACACTTGTTCTGGAGATCCTAGCAACAAGTTGAGCAGTGCATCAAGCAAAAGAAATAAAACACCAGGGACTAGAAAAGGATGAAAATATTATTATTGCACCTAACACGATGTTCTAGAAAACAAAAAAATCTATATACATATTAGAAATCATAGAAAAATTTAGTTAAGAGACTTCTATAAGGTAACATAAGCAAATCACAACATCTCTACACTCCAGCAACAAACCAAACCATGTAAAAAGCAACAATGCACTGTGGGAAGAAGCCTAACCAAAAAAAACACACACACAAACAAATTCTAGAGAAACTTTGTAACACTTTATTGAAGGGCATTAAATTAGAGACCTACTCTACCAGATGTCAAGAGCTATTCTAAAGCTACTGTAACAAAGACAGTGCAGACAGGCCAATGGGACGGAAGCCCCGCCTTGGGTCCCTGGCGCCTGCATGACTGACAGACGGCACAGCAGACCCCTGGGGGGAAGACGGACCAGGGAATAAATGCACGGATGGGAATGGACCGCGGGCGGCTGTCCATCTGCAACACTCAACATCAGGTCATGACCTTGCAACATACACAGTAAGCATTCCCGGTGGGTCGATGGGTCGGACTTAAATACAAAAGACAAAACTTAAGTCTCTTAGCATAAAATACGAATCATGACATTGGGGCAGGGAAGGGTTTCTTTAAACAGGAAACAAAAAAATATTAACCATATAAGAAATAAGTTGTAAGTTTAACCAGAAATTTAACCCCAAGGAAGTTTCCCCGGAGGCCATCTTACGTAGGAACCGTGTACAAGAACATTCGTGGCAACATTATTCACAGCTGCGGAACCCGGGGAACAGTCCACCTGTCCTGTGGTAGGAAGGGGATGGGTAATTCATAATTTGCAAAGCTATACAGCAATCAAAACAAATGCCTTGTAGCTACACACCACAACATGAGTGTATCTTATAAATATAATTTTGAGTCATTAAAGCAAAGTCACTGAGGTCCCCACACAGCACAGTATCATTTTCAGGAATCTCAAAAACAAACACAACTCGATAAAATAGTTTAGAGTGTATAATAATAATAAGTGGGTTTTTAAAAAAGAAAGCCAGGGTGATAAACCCAGCCTTCCAAGGAGAGGTTGCATGGGGTTGGGGTGGGAAGGGAGGCAGGAGATGAGGGAGAGAAGCAGCAGCACACAGACGGATGCTCTGACCTTGACTTTGACCCTAGAAAAGGTCAGATCAGAAATACTTCAGGCTCAGTAGGCCACAGAGTCCCTGTCACAGCCGTTCAGCTGTAGCCTCGCAAAGGCTGCCTCAGACGTGAGTCAGTGAGGGATGTGGCTGAGTGTTCCCGTAAAACTTTATTTGCAGACTCTGAAGTTGGAGTCTCAGGTAATTGTACGTGTCATGAGACACTGCCCTTCTTCTGATTGTAAAACACACGGAGAAACTGTTCCTTTGCTCCTGAGCCCCGCAGAGACATGAGGCCCCGGGGAGTTCGCCCCCCCCCCCCGCCCCGCCCCAGCTCTCCGGCTGGACTCACGGGCCTTCATTCCGTGAGTGTGTTTCGTTTCTGTTTCATGGGTCAGTTTATGGGCAGAAAGTGTTATTTCTCAAGAGTCTGAGAATGAAAAAAATGTAAGCGCTGGCTCAGAGGGGGACAGAAGCGAGGCAGATGATGTGAAGATGGAGGGGACCCCTGGGCATGCTGGGACACTGGAACGCTTTCCGGAACCCTCCCCAGACTCCGGCACTGCCGTCCCCTGCCCGCAGCAGTGGAGGAGGCCATCGTGCTGAGTGACAGAGCCAAAGGGACATCCGGCTGGGGCTGTCCCCTGTACCTTACAGCCTGTGGACACGCACCCACACACTCAGCCTGAATAACATTAGCTGGGCCACTTGTCCTCATGATTAAACTTAAAGTATAATTGAAGAAGTATCTTTGCCTGGCTAGCATAGCTCTGTGGATTGAGCGCGGGCTGGGAACCAAAGTGTCCCAGGTTCGATTCCCAGCCAGGGTTCATACCTGGGATGCAGGCCATAACCCCCAGCAACCGCACATTGATGTTTCTCTCCCTCCCTCTCTCTCTCTCTCTCTCTCTCTCTCTCTCTCTCTCCCCCCTCCCTCCCTTCCCTCTCTAAAAATAAATAAATAAAAATCTTTAAAAAAAAAGAAAAAGTATCTTTGAAATTCACAAAAACTGGCCCAAATCTTTTAAGTACTATCTAGAAAATGCCCCTTGACCACCAGCTCCGTCCCATCCTTGTCCTGTCAAAAGTGATACAATTTTAAAGGCTGACTCGCTAGCATTTAGAAGAAACTTGGCCCTGGCAGGGTAACTCAGCTGGTTAGAGCGTTTTCCCAGTGAGCCAAGGTTAAGGGTTCAATCCCCGGTCAGGGCACATACAAAACCCAACCAATGAGTGCCTGAGGAAGTGGCACAGCAGACTGCTCTCCCTCTTTCCCTCCCTCTTGCTCTCTAAAGTCAGTGAATTGAGACAAATAATAAAATTAAAATAAAATAAAATTAAAAAATAAAATAAAATAAAATGAACATTGTAGAAGAAACTCGGGCAACCCTGGGTATTGTCCAGGATGGTGTTTTTCAATCCGGAAAGCCACGCCGGTGGGACCCCTCCTGCTTCTCCATCGATCCCTCCCACACGAGCCCCAGCCGTCCCGGGGTCTCCGTTCACAGCTTGCACGCTTCTCCCTCCTCCTCCTCGGGAAACCCGCAGCTGTAGGCGTCTTCCTCCTGGGCAGTCCGCGCCGGCTTCATGAATGCTAGAAAGCAATTTCAGAGATGCTTATCTGCGGTTGTCTGTCTGAATCACGTAACATTCGACCTCTAGAAACAGTCGTGGGACATACCTCTCTAACGCGCATTCTCCACTGGAATGTGAACCAGTTCATTAGTTAAAGAGGCAATGGCAAGTGTGGACTTTTTTCTCAGGGTTATTGAAGATTTTTTTCCTTTTTACCAAACATTTTTACTGGTTCTGAAAAACTATATTCTTTATTTTATCCAACGGCTAAAAATGTACTCTTGAGCGTGAACCGCTAAGGCACAAAATGTATCCCGTCCCAGGTGTAACTGGAGCCTCAAGGAGGGCTCCTTGGGCTGCACATCAGACAGTCCCCCCGGAGCAGGTGCTGGGGCACCCGCAGCCCGTGGGTGCAGGCCGACTCCCGCGCCTCGGCTTCCGGCTCGCGTCCCCGTCGGGGCGCAGTGTCGGTGCCGCTGCCAGACACACCTCATCCTCCCAGATGTTTCCAGAGCCTGACGGAGCCACAGGCCCCGCCCCCGTTCCACACGCTAACTACGAAAAACAACTGCACCCCAACACTGCGTTGTCTCCCAGAATTGATGAACAACGGGCAAGACTTATTCAGAAACACCAATGGGATGTCCTGTCTCGACCTACTTTTTGGTGCCAGTGTTGCCGTGACACCCGGACCAGACAGAGACAACGGATGCTAGGAAGGCGCACCGCAGACCAGTCTCTCTCAGGAAGGCGGCTACAACAATTCTTAACAAAATATTAGCAAATACCATGTGGCCACTTAGAAAAAGAATGACATACTACGGGCAAGCAGAGGTTAGTCCGGGGATGCAAAGCTGGTTCAATACTGAAAAACGGACCCGTGACCCTGGCTGGTGCGGCTCAGGTGGTGGAGCATCACCTTCCCCCCCTCCCCCCGCCCCGTGGGCTGAAAGGTCGTAGGTTCGGTTCCCAGTCAGGGCACGTGCCTGCACTGCAGGTTTGGTCCCCGGTTGAGGCGCATGTGAGAGGCAGCCAGCTGATGTTTCTCTCCTCTCACCCTCCTCCCTCCCCTCTCTCTAAAATCAGTAAGCATGTCCGTGGGTGAGGGTTAAAAAAGAATGGATCTGTGTAATCCATCATCTTAGTAGGATAAAGAAGAAAATCACGTGGTCGCATCGGTTGATTCAGAGAAGCCACGTGACGAGATTCGGCACTCGTCCGTGATTCTTGAAGAACTTCTCAGAAAACTAGAGACAGAGGAGGAACTTCCTCAGCCTGATAAAGATCTGAACATCTACGGCACACGTCGTACTCACTGGTGACAACTACATGTTTCCCCCTAAAATTAGAAACAGGACAAGGATGTCACTCATCACTCCTACCCAGCATAGTTCTGGAAGTTTTAACCAGCACAGTCGGCCAAGAGAAGGAAATAAAAAGCATGTGTACAGAGAAAGAGAAAACAAAACTTCCCTATTTGCAGATGACATTATGACCTATACAGAGAATTCCAAGAAATCTACAAGTAACTCCGAGAAGTAACAAATGAATTCAGCAAAATCACAGGATACAGAATCAATCTACAAGCATCAATTATGTTCCTATAGCAATGAACACACAGACGCCAAACTTTAGGATAAATACCACTTAGAGGTGTTTTAAAAAATTAAATGCTAAGACCTAAATTTTGGCAAAACGAGTACAGGACTTGTATCCCGAGAACTGCACAACGATGCTGAAGGAACTACAGATAAACGGAGACACACGCTGTGTATTCCAGGACCAGAATACTTAAGGCAGCGAAGGTGGCCATTCTCCCCAGGTTGCTGCACGGGTTTAACACGGTTGCAGTCAGAGTCCCAGCTGACTTTTTGCAGGTACATGTGAGAGTATCCAAAAGTATGTACAGAAATGCAAAGGAACTGGAAGAGCTAAGACAATTTTGAAGGAGAAGAAAGCGGGAGGAATCTAACCTCCACCCAAGTTTAAGGCGTTCTGCGGCTGCAGTGACCCAGACCGTGGGGGCTGGGGGAAGAACACGCGTGTGGGTCCGTGGGACAGAGGAGTGGAGGCAGAAACGCCCGCGCACAGGCACAGCCGGCCGGGTTTTGACGAAGGCGCAGAAGCGATTCCACGGAGGACGCTCGATGTTCTCAGCGAAGGTAGCCGGAGCCACCGGGCCCCCGCGGGCCAAAGCAGCCACGGGAGTCCGGGTCCGACCCTCCCGTGCCTTACACGAAACCTGGCTAAAGACGGGCCGCAGACCTCAGTGTGGAACACCCAGGAGACAGCGTAGGAGAACATCTAAATCTTCGCGACCTTGGACCTGGCGGAGCCTTCCTAGCTGTGACTCCGTAAATGGGGGGGGGGGGGGGAGCAAAACTGGACTTTATCAAAATTAAAATATTGTTTTTCTGCAAAAGACCCTGTGAGGAGGAGGAAAAGGCAAGCTGCAGACTGGGAGGAGATACTTACGAACCCCATATCCGACACAGGACTCACACCTCGGAGACAGAACCCTCACATGTCTGCCTGTGGGAAAACCAGCAGACACTGCTTCGACCGGGAGTCGGGCAGCAACCGGGGGACACTGCCCTGAGCACACGTGCAGGTGGGGCACGAGCGCAGGGGAGGTGTCCGGCTCCGGGGGTCAGGCGGACTGAGCCCGCGCGGAGCCGCCACCCTTTGGGAGGCGGAGCGAGAGACCGCAGCCGTGGAGGTGCTGGCGGGGCGAGGAGGGAGCGGGTTACGGCTGCGCCGCGGGTGGAGCGTGGGCTGGTGCAGCTCTCTGGGACGCGGTCTGGTGGCCTCTTAAATACACTAAACATTCTCTCACCGTGTGACTAGTCATTGCCCTCCTGGGCATCTCTATCTTAGAGATACAAAAACTTGTGTCCAAACTAAACCTGGGCAAAACCAGCCATTGCAGCTTTAAATGCAATGGTCGAAAACTGCAAAAAAGCACGCCATCTCTCCGGAGGTGACGGGGACGCAGACCGGCGCACCCACGGCGCGGGGTCCCGGCCCGCGGGGAAGAGAGTGACCAGTGGAAACGCAGCGACTTGGCCACGTCTCGGTGGCATTTAGTTGCATGGAAAAAAAAAAAGCCAGTCTCAGAAGGTTCTATATTCCTGGTCCATCTATCTATTGTGTGATTCCGCTGATATATAGCACTCTTGAAATGACAAAATTGTAAAGACAGCGACGGTTATCGGGACCATCCCTAAGCGGGAGAGAATGTGGATGTGACTGAAGCATGAGCAGGAGAGAGATCTTTATGGTCGTGGGACATGGTGCTTGGGTCGTGCCCGTGGTTGCACCAATGTACAGAGGCAACAGTGGCATACAAGCACACACACACACAGTGCACCAGCATCACTGGCCTGGCCTTGATATTGCACTACAGTTACATTAAATGTGGCCCAGGGAATGGCCCGCGAGACTTGTCTGCGTGGTCTTTATAACTTCCTGTGAATCTACAACCACTTCAAAATAGAAAGCTTCTAAAAATGACCTGAATTTTTTTTTAAATGGAATACAGTTCCATTGCAACTCACAGATTACTCATAAATACTTGTGAAAATCATTTGGTGGAGAACTCTGCTGCAGTCTGAGTGAAGATGAGAAGGTTAGTTCTCTAGATGAGAGGTTTCGGTGGGAGCCCAGAAGCTGAAATCAAACGTTCAGGCCTCAGAAAGAGAATCGGTGAGCAAACCGCAGGGCGGAGAAGGAGCTGCAGTGCAGGGAAGCGGACCAGGGTTCCTGTTCAGGAGGAAGGACAGGAGGACAGACGGCCCAACAGAAAAGTGCTCGGGAGACTTGATCAGGCACTTGGCAAAAGAGGCAATCCAAATGGTCAATGTCATGTGAAAAAAAAGTCCCGTCTCTCTAGAAATCAAGGAAATGCAAGTGAAAACCGCAGTGAGATCTACTGTCTACCCACCAGAGAGATAACAAGGAAGAAGTCTGACGGCGCGAGCGTTAGCCGGGATCGGTGCAGAGGGCTCTTCCGGGCTGCCGGGCCAGCACAGACAGGGTCCCACCACTCCGGAAAACAGCTTGGTAGGCCTAACTAAGGACCCAGCGATTTTATTTCTAAGTTAAAACAACAACAACAACAACAATACAGAGACATGCACGATAGGCGTGCTGAGCCAAGGAGACAAAAAATATCGGCGCACCATTGTCTGTAACAGCCTCACACTGGAAATAATCGCAGTGTCCCTCAACATTAGAAGAGAATCAACAGCGATACAGTCATTCAACACAAAGTATTTCACAATGGAAATCAACACAGGTAAATGCAACTCAGGCCTGAATCATAACGATACAGTGTTGCACGAAAGAAGGCAGACACAGGATAGCTACAGAAAATACAGACTAAACAGAGAAAACACAGAATAGGAACATGGGATTTCACTTGTAGAAGTTCACAAGTCACTAAGTTAAACTGTGTGGTGAGGTAGCAAAACTGTAGAGAGCAAGGAAGTGAGAGCTGTGGGTGTGGCCAGCGCTGGCGGGGAGGGGCCCTTTTCAGCTGGAAGGGAGGGCGTGTGGTGGGGGGGGCACTGGGGGGCAGCGGCCCTTCTATTTCCTGACCCCGGTGGGGCGGGGCGGTGCAGGTGCTCCTTCCACAACAGTTTGCTACACTTGACGTGGCTGCTTTTTTTTCCCCGTGTGTTACATTGTACCATGTAATGAGATTTCATTTCAAAGGGTCTTTCCAAAGACCTTTACACACGTTAGTGTAGCGCATCTGTAGACGAGACTTGACTTTTCCTGTCCCCGCTCTACTTCTAACATTTCGGGTTCCAGCACAGCGCTCTCGGGGCGCGCCACCTGCAGACGAACCCCTCTCATCAAGTCTGGCCTGTATCTCTGGTTCTGTCCTCCATGAAGACAAAAACCAGGCTGCCCCGTCTGTAAACTTTTTTTTTTTGAAAAAATAATACGAATAGGTTTCATTTAGTGAGCGCTCACTCTTGCCAGGCATGTGCCAAATTCCATAAGAAAATCGTATCTTAGTTCAATGAAGGAAACCCACTATTAAAGTCTCTCATTTCATCCAGACCGTAATCCGTTCTGTTAAACCTTCTTCGGACACCCCGCCCCCGCCAAGTTCTCTGCGCCTCCTCCCCTTGCAGGTCCGGCTCGGGTTAAGGCCATCAGCCGGGCTGAGGAGCCGGCTCAGTGGGGCGGACGTGATGTTCTGATTCCTCCCTGCCCGTGTCCCGTGGGCGCAGCTGACTGGCCCCACGCCCACGCACTCACACGGAGTTATCCCAGCCTGCGTATACTTCAGTTATCGGTTTTCTGGATAATTCCGGAGGATTACGTTCTGCTAACGGCCAGCTCTCCTCGCCTCGGCACTGTGGACATGGGGCCAGATAACGCTTTGCTGGGGGGTGGGGCCTGTTTGTTGCGGGGTGTTGAGCAGCATCGCGGACCACTCACCGGATGCCAGAAGCCTCCCTCCCACCATCCCCCCCACCCCCCCAGGTAGTGACAGCCACAACTGTCTCCAGATGTTGCCACATGTCCCCCTGGGGGCAACACTGCCTGTGCTTCGGTAACCACGGTGCCATCCTCACCCAGCGTCTAGAGCCCCCACGGACCGCCACCTTTTCCTTTCTCCCGGGAAAGGCCTCGCCCCGGAAGAGCTCCTGCCCGACACGGTTAGGTTGGTCTTACGTTGCTTGAGGATGTACAGGAGTTTCCTCCGGCCCCGTTGGACTGCAGAGGCGTGGGACACGAGGAACAACAGCAGGAACAGTACCACCGGCGTCGCCGCCACCAGCACGAGGGTGGAGAGGCTGATCTGGGGGGGCTGGCCTTGGGGAAAGAGCAAAAGGAGAGGTGCCTGTCACTTTGCGCGCCGCGCACTTCCGCTGGCAGACCCGAATCGCGAGGGGGGACGGTCCCTTGGGCATCTGCCGTCAGCTGACTTAGTCAACTTGCCTGCGTGTTAAGAAAGCTTTCCTTTAAACCTTAATAATTTTCCTAGAGGCCTGCAGAAACCAGGTGCTCAGCTTCTACCCTGGGCCTTCCTGGAGTCCACGCAGAAGACACAGGGCCCTGTGGTCCCCGCACTTGGCCTGAGGGAGGCTGCAGGGCTGTCTGGGCCGAGTCTCCCCGGGCTCTGCGTCCCAACGTGTGTCTCAGGCTCAAGGACGAGCCCCTGAAAGACCGACAGGCGCCCGTGGGCGGCGGAGACGTGGGACCCCGGGGTGCTGAGGCGTGTCCGGCCCCCGTGGTCCCGTTGATCCGACAGCGACAGAGCGGCTGCCTGGGCGCGGCGCGGACGTACCTGGGGAGGAGTCGGCCCGGGCCGGCGCGCACACCGCGTCGCTCTCCCTGGTCCCGTTGGCAAGCACGGTCTTCCCGTCCAGAGAACAGCTGGGCGGTCCAACGAGAAGAGCCCCAGTGATTAATCCAGCTACAGACCACGCTCGTTAAAACGCCGCCATTCCCCACCCCTGAAGCAGCCTGGGCACCCAGGTGTGCGGGTCTGGGTCCGCCTGGATATGCGCGCGCGCTTGACCGTCTGGCTCCCTCCAGCCGGTCACCCGGCTTTCGCGGTTCTCCGCGCTTCGCCCCTCCCGCTCCGCCTGGCCCTACTGCACTCCTCCCTCCGCGGCCGCGGGGGGTCGTCCCGGGGTGGCGCGGACTGGGGCCCGGTCCCAGTCTCTCCCCCGACCCCGGCTGCTCTGCTCGGGAGCCTGAGGGACAGACCACTGGGATGAGGCCGGAAGGTCCGAACCCCAGGACGTGCTGGAGCCCTGGGGCGGTCCCCGTGCGCAGCAGCCTGGGGCACGCGAGGACCTCTCCCCAAACACCCTTTTCTCAGCTGCAGGGCAAGGCGCGCGTGCTCCCGGGGCGGGGCCGTGCGGAAGAGCAAACGAGTGAACCACGTGCCTGACTCACTCCCAATAAACGGTGGCTGCCACCATCACCATCACCATCATCACCATCACCATCCTTACCCATCACCACCCTCACGTCTCTCCTGCGCCCCTTCGCCGAACCCCGCCCGCCCGAAGCCCAGTTCGCGTCCACTTTCCGCGCAGACTGGTTGGACGGTTCTGAGCGCTCCGTGGGGAAAGGCTTTAAAAAAAAAACTTTCCAACCTGTTACGAACCAGTCCTTTTGTAAAACATAATAAAAGTGTAAATGTAAAATGGTCACGAAGAGGATTTTCTAGTAAGAAAACCAAGGGAAACGAGAGCAAAGGCACACGAAATGCGAGGCCTGCGCCCCGTTCAGCGGAGCCGGCGCGTGCGCGTGGCCACCGACGTGCCCAGAGGGCGTCCGCCTGCTGCTGGCTCCTAAGGCCCGTGCGCTCCCGCCGTGAGTGGACGGTCCCCCCGTGGACGGGGGACAGGCTGGGGCCCCCGCCTGTGCGCAGGCCACACTGGGAGTAGCCCCGGCCACGCGAGGCAACGGGAACCTTCCCATGGGCACGGCTGGCTGTCTCTACCCCCTGCGGCGGTCCCCTCTGCGCGAGGACACGTGACACTCGGGAGGACCGCCACGTACCCGCATCTCATCCTCAGTGCCGGACATCGCCGCCGGAGAGGTGAGCCGGTCGGCGGAGAAGGACAGGGCGCAGAGACCGGGAGGAAACAGGAGGGCACGCGGGGCAGGCGGGAACAGAGTCCCACCCGCAGCTCCGACCCGGGCGCTCGGGCGTCCCTTCCGGGGAGGACGCCCACGGGGGTGGGGGGTCACGTTCCTCTCGCCCGCACTGCCCCCACACTGCCCGGTGGCCTGTCATCCTGCGTCCACACTTGACAGGTTTGTGAAAGCTTCAACGATAACATTCTCTGTCTTTAAAGAGTTAACCCAAATTCTGCATTTTGTATAAAGCAAAAGGAAGTCATACGTACTTCGTCCAGGCCTGGCAGGCACCGAATCTCCCGTCATTGAAAGTTCCGAAGCCACAGTCCTTGCAGCCTTGCACACAAATAAAAGCCACAATCAAAAGGGGCGGATTTTCACCCTCTCCTCACTCTCCCCGTGATGAACGCAATCACACCACACAGCCGCCGACGTCACCCCGTCCCCACCGGCTGGCCGCTGGTTCTCGAGAGCAAGCCCTGAGACCAGCGAGGTTCTCATTCCAGTCGGACGCAGCGTCGTGTCTGCCTGTGCAGAGTGGATGCAAACGGGTGGTCCTGGGGAATGGCACATGTGATTTCCAGTGGCTGCCATTGGTGGAAAACCAGTTTGTACGTGTCGTAGTGTTGTACTTGACTCAGTGGCTCGCTGCTCGTTACCGTCAGGTCCCACAAGCCCGTGCCCGATTCCGTGTTCAGAGACGGAGAGCGAGCGCCCTCACACATAAACGGGTGCGCCTCATACTCACTTTGGACTGTATCCCTTCACCTCCCTTGCCTGGAACCACAGTGTGATTCGCCTGCCTTTTATTGGGAGTATGTTACATCTGTCTTTGGCTTACTAAGAGGTATTATGCTGTATGCTATGAGCTTGTGAGATTGCCACAGTGAATCGGTGCTACGTAAAATTTTAAAAGACAAAAGACGGTAATAAAGACCAAGACCCAGGCTAATTGCCTCCGTCCAGAAAACAGGCTCACACGAGGCTCACGAAGGACACAGCCACCACCTACCGTCTTTGGTTAATTCTTGGCCTTTCTTGCAGTCCTGTTCACACATGGTACATCCGGCCCCCCGGCAGTGGAACCCCGAGATGCACTCACACTCTGTGTTGCTGGTGGGGGAACACACCTTCTTGGTCCTGAAAACACCTGCAAAGCCCCCCGGGGTTATAGGAGAGCCGACCTCCAAATCCAGGCAGTGAACTTACATCCTGCAATAAAAACCACGCTCACTCTACTTAAAAAACTCCCACTGACCTCAGAGTATAACGTTTCCTTTTGAATCTCAGTGAAAGACCTTTTTACATCTTCTGATGAACATTTTCTCTCTTATAACATGCATGTTTGCTCTAATATTTAAAAAGCTCAATCCACAAATAATTGCTGTTGCTGTACATTATTTTACTGGCCTGCGGGCAGGCAACCAGCGCCTGACCCCTGGCTGTCAGCAGAGGCCAGTACACAAGGGGATGAAATCTGGGTTTCCCAACACACACACACACGAATGAAGAAAACATCTTGAGCCCTGGCTGGGGTGGCTCAGTGGATTGAGTGCCAGCCTGTGAACCAAAGGGTCACCAGTTCGATTCCCAGTCAGGGCACACGCCAGGGTTGTGGGCCAGGTCCCCAGTAGGGGGGCACGTGAGAAGCAACTACACGCTGATGTTTCTCTCTCTCTTCTTCTACTTCCTTTCTCCTCTCTCTAAAAATAAATTGATCAAATCTTAAAAAAAAAAAGACGTCTCAGAACTCGTACCTTCACACAGCCTGCAGATGTCGCAGGCCCTCTGTCCGCCGGTGCTGGAGAAGCTATTTGAAGGACAGGGAACACACATCTGACCCTTGTCTTTCCCGCAGAAGGTACCTGAGGAAGGTAGGTCACAGCTACACACGCCTGACGGGGGGTTGCTGCCACCCGCAGCATGTGACCTTCACAAGGAAACTGGGACGTGAAACAACAACTGGTTTTCTAGGTGCCTCGGTGATAGACTTGACGTTGTTGGTGGGCTTTTCAAAAGTAACCATCCGCCCGATTGCCCTCAGCATAACCTCAGAAATAAGACTCACAAAGTACAGATGTTGCAACAAATAAGCCAGCAGGAAGAAGATGGTTTCCTTCGTGTATGGAAGGAAACACAGTGATTTCTCTGGATGGAGCCGGATCGACGGGACCAGATTCATGGGCACAATGTCTGCCTTCCCCCGCCTGGCCCCCCACCCCTGCCTCCCACTCACCCCCCCTGGGGGCCCCGCCGGAGCACAGGGGCTCACGCACCACGCCGTGTTGTGAGCCCATCACGTGGAACGGGTTCTCTTACCGTCCCTAGGTGACAAAGTTGGGGGCGCAGGAATTAAGGGACACGGCCCCGTTCCCACAGCTAAGATGTAGCACCCAGGAAATGTTTGTAAAGGGGTGAATAAAAGGCCGTGAAGACAGAGCTCAAGCACACACACATTCATTCGCCTCTCACCAGCTGGACAGTTGCTGCAGGCATCCCGCACGGACCGCGTCCTCTCAAAGTTCATGACCAGCAGTGCAGTGGCCACCAGGCTGTAATAGCTACTTCCCATGGTGCAGTCTTGCACGGATGTGGTGCTAGTAAAAGCAGCCCCCGAAGAAACTTGAATCAAAGTGGCTGTTTCACAAGCAGCACTCTGCAAAAGGTCGAGGTTTACGAGAGTGAGGTGGCTTCTCCTTTCAGGCTGACTTATCCCAGCCGTGAGCTCCCGAGTCCACGGGTGTTTCAGGAACGGTCCGTGAAGGGAAGGACAGACTCACAGACGCTTCTGTGACAGGATGCCCATGACTAAGCACAAGGCTTCGTGCACGCCCGCCTCAGCGGGAGGGCGCAGCTTCCAACCAGGTTTGCCAAAATACAGAGAAGTAACAATGGCAAAAACTTTTGGGGACTTTCATGGACACTTGGCATCAGCATCTGGACCTCAGCCACGCCAGTTGCCCGCTGACCCTGACCTATAACCTTTAGAAAGAGGCTCTGTCGGGGACACCTAGCAATTCAGCTGAAGGAGACGCTGTCTCTGTGACCCTCTGTCTGAGTGGCATGCACAGACTTCAACAGCTACTTGCCAAAAAGTGGAAACACCTGTCTGCTCAGCTCTTCCTCACAATAAAATACTTCTGTTATATGTCAGTTACAGCTGACATTCAGCATTCTGTTAGTTTCAGGAGGACAGCAGAGTGGCCAGACATTCAGAGAACTCACAAGGTGACCCCCCCCAAGCCTGGCACCCACCCGTGACTCTGCCACGCAGAGTCACCCCAGGACCGTCGACTCCGCTCCCTCTGCTGCGCACGTTTTTTCAGTAGACCTGTTTGCCCGTTCTGAGATGCGCAGCTCACGCAGGAACGGAACCAAGGAGCAGAGAGAAAATCTCTTGAGAGATCTTTATCTGACCTTTAATCGAATGGGCTATGGAAGAGATGCTAGCAGCTGTTAGGAGGAGGCAAGTCTAGAAATGTCCCCAGGAAACAAAGCCTCTGCCCTCGCCCAGCTAGCTTCCCCCTGCCTGCCCCCCGATGGACAAACCTTGAGATCCCCGGGCTGGCGAAGAACTTTCCACTCCTCGGGTGTGTGTGTGCGGAGCGGTGAAGCACTGCAGCTTGAAAACGGCTGGGAGAGACCTCGCCCCCTGAGTGACTCAGCCCCGGGGGCGGGGCGGCCGGGGCCCCGGGGGGAAATCCCCACCCCTTGCCTTGGCTCTGGGCAGCACACTTACTATCTGCTGACCCCAAAATCCCCCTCAACAAGTGGCCTTTGGGACGTTTCTTGGAATCATCTCTCTGCTGTAAGGACGTTTCTCGGATGACCCCAAGGACAGGATTTTGTCACTTCATATAGTTCCCAAAACATTTGCGATTAGAGGAATAAGGACCGGCCCTTGTGCAACAGGCTGCCCCTGCGCCCTGATGACAGGTGCTGCCGCGGCTGGAATTTATGGAGGGCAGCGGACGTGCCGGGCGTACCACGGGGGCCCTCGTGAGCGCTGTCCTCACACGGGCCCCGGGAGGGAGGTGACGGTTCCTGGGGCAGCGTTACCAGCGTGAGGGGGAGCACACTGGGGCTGGGTGTCTAGCCAGAGAGTCAGCAGGGTGGGGAGCTGGGGTTAGAACCCGGGCCCCCCTGACTTGCTGACACTGTGCTCCTTGCTGCGTGGGGGAGCTGGGGGGAGAGGGAAGGAGAAACAGGAAGGTGGAGACAAGGGGAAGTGGAGGAGTTAATGGCCGGATTACACTGTTGGATACAGGGAGATCTGTGCAGGAAGAAGGGGAGGAGGGGGAGGAGGGGGGAAGGGGGAGGGGGGGAGGAGAGGGGAGCTGGAAGCGCAGGAGAAAGATGCCCCAGAGACGCTAGGATGCACCCAGCGTCTGTGGGGAGACGACCGGAGGAACTGACAGCAAGCGTGGTTGGACTAAAACAGACGGGTTTTCCGTTAGGATCTAAACAGAAAACAGCTATTTTTTCCCCCCACGGGAGACACGGAGGCTTGGTCTTGAGTTGGGGGTGGGTGGAGGGGGAGGATGGGAGAGCTGGCGTCCACGGAGCGCTTGCTCTGTGCGGACCGAGCCCCTGACACGCCCCCGCGGCTCCCCGCTGCCCCGTGTTCGAGGGCCTCCGGGATCTGGCCCGAAGTCGCCCTTTTGGAAAGTGAAGGTAATAGTTCACATAACATAAATCTCACCGTTTTAAAAAAGATTTTATTTATTTATTTTTAGAGAGGGAAGGGAGGGAGAGAGAGAGAGAGAGAGAGGTCAATGTGCGGTTGCTGGGGGTCATGGCCTGTAACCCAGGCATGTGCCCTGACTGGGAATCGAACCTGCGATGCTTCGGTTCGCAGCCTGCGGCGCTCAATCCATCTCACCGTTTTAGAGTGTACATGTCGGTGGGTTTTAGTGTATTCACGAGGTTGTACAGCCCTTCCCAGGACGTAATTCCAGAACACACTCTTCGGTCCAAAAGGAAACCCTAGACCCATTAACAGTCACTTCCCAGCCCCGCCCCCCCAGTCCCTGGTGACCACCAATCTACTTTCTGTTTCTATAGCTTATCCTGCTCCGGACACGTCACGTGAATGACGTCATCACATCTGCTGTCTCGTGTCGGGTGTGCTCACCCGGAGTGATCTCGGAGCCCGCCCCCACGGCGGCACGAGTCACGCCTTCTGATTGCCCCCAATAACCCTGCGCTGCGCGGCCAGGCCGCGTTGGGTTGACCCGCTCACAGCCGGTGGCCGCTGGCGCCGCCCCGCTTCCGGCCAGCTGTTAATGCCGCTGTGATCGTCTGTGCGCGAGTGTTCGTGTGCCTATGTGTTCACTTCTCTGGAGCGTGCACCTAGGAGTGGAGGTGCCGTGTTGCGCGGCACGTGTGTCTCTCTCTCCGAGAAACTGCCGGGCTGGCTCCCACCGCAGCCGCACCGTGGTGCGCCCCCAGGTCCGATTTCTCTCCTTCCTTGCCACCACTTGTTACTTTGTTAATCAGGAAGTTAGGAAAGCCACCCTCGCGGACGTGAGGGGCTGGCTCATCGTGGCTTCGACCTGCGCCCTCGCCCCGGTTCCGCGGCCCCTCCCGGTCTAGCGGGAACAGCAGCGGGGGAGTGTAATAATAGCACCCGCTTTGCCCGCAGCCTGGCTCGGATCAAGTCGAGGCTGGTGACCGCGGATGGTCAGGTGACCTCCGGCAGACGGCTGAGCTTCCCAAGTCTCCGTTTTTTCCAGCCGCGCCTTACAGAGGCGGGGACGCCGTGCGCCCCCCTCATTTACCGAGGAGCCGATGAGGAGGTGAGCGTGCAGCGAACACGCCGTGAACTCGCCTCAGCGCTCCGCCCACGGTTCTCCAGGCGATAGTTCTTGTTATCGGGACTTACTGTTTTGAAATTTTCCTTGCCTAGTCTCCCATCAGTAAAACAGCCCAGAGCAAGTAGCAAGAGAGGGGAAAAAAATGCATGGAGTAGCTACAGATTTTATTCCCAAATTCTGCGCCATTCCATAAAAATGGCATGGCTGATCACCCCCTACTGCTTCCAAAGTCACAACCTAACCAAGTGGCCTCTCACTCTGCATGCGGTGCTCTGTGTCCTCCATGGCAGCATGACATTTGACTGGGCTCTTCTCTTGTTTAAGTAAATGCTACTTACTAATCTACATTTTGGATATCCTGTGGGCAGAGGTATTACCTCGCCCTGAAAATGACGTATGTAGTTTCCCAGCACCGTAATTAGCTCACTTTTTCAAGCTGAGCCAGTGACATAAACGTCTTTACTGAGCTAAAAGATTCTCAAGATTAGTTTCAGCAGCCTACAGTTAAACAAAACCACCTACTTCAGAATGATTCTACTGAAGGCTATGCGTAGTTTTCTGCAGGTGTTTAAAGAGTGGTGCCCACGTCCCCGCGACTCCGTCCTGTTTGCTAAGCCTGGCACAGGAAGCCAAGGTGAATTGCAGACCAGCCAGACACACCTGCCGTCCGGGCTGGCCAAAGGTGCGCCCTCTCTGCGCACCTTTCCTTTGCTTTAACACCTGGTGCACGTCTCTTTCTTCGTCGTAGAGTTCCAGTCTCTCAAACGCAACGAAAATTCCATCTCGTCCACGAAGGCTTCCCAGACAAAAATCAGAGACGACAACAAGCAAACATCAACACTTTCGCACATTTAGCAATAATATGTTTCATCACATTCTACACCTCTCACCCGAAATCGTGGAGTCGATTTTGTTTTATCGTTATCGACGGTGGGTGTAAGGCTGAATATCTGAGGCACGGATGCTTTGAGGCTAAGCATCGTGGAGGTTCAACTCTAAACAAGACAAACGATACTTAGAAACTGGAAGATAAACGGCCCCTCCAAGCAAAGCTTTGTGTGAAACACACTTCTGTTGCCCCAGGGCACACGGCGGAGGCAACCTCATCGACGGAAAGTCCACTGTTTATACCTATTTCCCAAGAGATGGACCCTCCCAAGCCTCTGGCCAGGCCCCGCCTGGACTCCAAGCCTCTGGCCAGGCCAGGCAGTCGTCACTGTTGGAGACAGAGGACGCCTGTCTCCAACAGTGACGACGAGTAAGTTCAAAAGGAACCAGAACAAACACAGTGAGTGGGGAAGGAGGAAGGAGGCCGAACAGCGGAGAGAAGGCAGTGCCTGTTGTAAGGCGGGGGGCGGGGTGCGAGCAGCTGTCAGATTCGCCCGCTTTCCTCCCTCCTCACACTGTCTCTGTCTTCTGCCCCCTAGGATGTTCGCAGCTCGCAGATACAGCGTCCGGCTCCCTCCGACACCGCGCGGCCCCCGGGGGGGAGGGCACAGGGAGGCCCCCATCCCGTGTGTCCAGATGCGTAGATGCTGCAGGTCAGCTAAGCAACACTGTTGTAAAACATGTTCTCTCCAGGGCAGGGCCCACAAGTCACAGACGCACCCGCCATCGCACATGCGGGTGCCTCTGTGACCGGGACGAGGCGCCTTGTGCTGGCACAGCGGATGCACAACTGTGCCACCGGCTCCATAGCCCTCGCCCTCGGGCACGGCGCTGTCAGTCCCCGGGGATACATCCCACAGTTCCCGTTCTGTGTCTCAGAAACGCAAGGCAATGGACGGCATCTCTGTGCTGTGCAGCCACCCAGAGCACCCAAGGGAGCCACCGAAGTCCCCGCGCAGGGGAAATACAGGCGCGCCTGCGAAGGCCTTCTCAGGTGGCTGGGGAGGAAGGGACCCCGCACGGTCTGTCCGGATGAAAGACACACCGCACAGGAAGTGTGGTTTCCCAGCAGTCCCAGGTGCCCGTTTCCTTGCCCCTGTTTCTGTCCCCTTTTGTGGTCCGGAAGTCCTCGTGGAGGAGCATGGAGTCCCCAACAGGCGCCCAGGAGCTCGGAGGAAGCCCTTGCGACAGGGAGCAGTTCCTGATCCTCTCAAGTATGCAGGCAGGGGTGGGCAAAAGTAGGTTTACAGTGGTGAGTGACACGGTTTATTCTTGTATTGTCGTGTATTGATGATTGTATTATTTATCTGTATCACAACTGTAACCTGCTTCCGCCCACCACGCCCCCGATAGGTAGTAAGTAGAGTAAGAGCTGTCACATGGGGGGCAGGGCTTAGAGGAACAAGCATAAAGGACACATGGACAGAAACGGGGGGCGAGGGGTGGAAATGGGAGGGAGGTGGGGAGCACTTGGGGGGTGGGCTGGGGTGGGAGTAAAAGACAAAACTGTACTTGAACAACAATTAAAAATAAAAAGAATGTTAAAAAAATAAGAGTAAAAGATCCCCCCCCCCCAAAAAAAAGAACTGTCACATGGGTTCCTCACTGGAATCAACTAAACCCCAGAATTAGTTGCAGTTTTTACTATAAAAACACTTAGCCCTGGCTGGTGTAGCTCAGTGGATTGAGCGCGGGCCACGAACCAAAGTGTTGCAGGTTTGATTCCCTGTCAGGGCACATGCCTGGGTTGCAGGCCACGGCCCCCAGCAACCGCACATTGATGTTTCTCTCTCTCTCTCCTTCCCTCCCTTCCCTCTCTAAAAATAAATAAATAAAATCTTTAAAAAAAACACTTAGTAACATTTTATTACATTGCTAAAAATAAAAGGTTTCATATATACTTAAGCAATTTTAAATATTTGATATTTATCA